CGGGGAAGAAACAGCTCAGGTTTACAAAGAACCAGGAACAGGTGACCTCTTCCGCAACAAACTGGGCACGCCAGCTGGCTGCCGGCCTGTCGGACCATCCCACCCAGCCAAAGGGCTGCTCTGTAGCAGTGCAGCATGCCTCCGGGGATCGCAACACCAGCAAATGCTGATACTACAGCTTCAAAAAAAAAAAAAAAAAAAATCAATAAAAACAATCTGTAAAGATCCCCGTCTCTCCAGGAGGCTTGGCTGGCATCTCTCCCCCCACCGCCAGGCAGGGGGTGGTGCGGATGTCTGCTCTTCCAGCTAGCTCAGCCTCCACCCAAGTGGCGTGTGACACGGGGTGTGCGTGCCACGTCCCTCCAGTTCCTTGTCACTTCTTGTTTACACGTCTGTTTAGATGAGTAAGCTGAATAAAAGCCGATCCAGTTGTTTTATCCCCTCTTAAGACTGCTGCTCAGCTGCAGGTAGCCCAGGGACAGCTTTCTTCCCTGCCAGCACATCCTTGCTCCTGGCTCTGCATCCGGCTGGCGCAGCGAGCTTCTCTCTTCCTTCCCTTTGGCGCGGAGGCAGTGGCTGGAGCCGGGCCACCACGGTGCTTGCCCCAAGAGGAGGGGTGGATTACGTGCGATGAACCCACGCGTCATAAGCGTGCTTCCCAGGGCTCTGGGGGAGGAGAAGACAGCAGGACTGTGGCTCTTGTGCTGTAAATAGTGCGCTCCTGCAGCTAACCAGCGGCCGGGGGCTGATGTGTGCTGGCCTCCCATCTAGCCCAGCTCTTGCCCAGCGGGGCTGCTGGCTGGCTCATCAAACAGAGCTCAGCGTTAGGAAACCTGCCTTGTGGTGGTCGGCAGGCCACCGACCGATGATCCTCTGCCGCGGGACAGCTGGGAGCGACATCCTGCGGGCTCCAGGTATGCCGGCTTCCGTGCCCGCTGCTGCCTGCCAGGCGTCTCTCAGTCCTGGCCCCCCTCCCTTTCCCCCCCTCCTCCAGCTCATCTCTGCCAGCAGCTGCATCCATTTGAGCTTTCAAACCTGCCTTGGCGTCTGCCTCGGCCCCACCGCAATTAAACTGGACCAGCAGATGCTTACCTGCCTTCCCTGCGCCGAGGGGTTAGTGCGGCCGTGGCGGGAGCTCGGAGGCAGCTGAGGAGCTCCCGGGCTCTGCTGCTGCGGAGCCTGCGCTTGGCTGCAGGCAAGCCTGGGCAGCTACTCGGTTTCTCCCCCCTCCTCGAGTAGCCCATTTTGCTGATCATCTGCCGTGTCGTGCCAACAGTGTCTTAAATCCCGTCTCGTTTCCCTTCCCTCCTCCCGTCGCAGCCTTGCATCACAAGGGCAGAGCACGGCCTTTTCCTTGACCCCGGGGTCCCATTTTATAACCATTGCCTTCTTTTCCCTCCCCTCCACCCTGACCTTGACAGGGCCTGAAAATGCTTCTGTTTGGTTTTGGTTGGTTTGTGGTTTTTTTTTTTTTTCTTTCTCTAAGTTCGGATTAATAAATAATAAAACCCCAGTCAGCACAGATTGCTCCTGCTCTGGTCTCTTGGGGAGGGCGAGCGGTGATTTTGGGGGGGGGGGGGGGTCTG